TGCATTTTTTTTAAATGGACTAATTTTAGAGAAGTTCCATAAACGGATGCTTTTATGCATTTCAGGAAATCGTTGGAGCAGATATGTATACCAGGTTACTCAAAAACAATCAATAATTTATTACTTCGCAGTCTATGATGAAAGTTTTCTACCTTAGTGAGCAGTAAATCAACACATCTCATCAACAAATACAAACAAGGATACCTTTTTTTTTATAACAGCGTACTGTTGAAACAATGTAGGTATGCATAGAGGTTATATCAATTGCCAATTTTCATGGAAACGTCAGTGTAATTCGGGTCCTAAATAATTTAAAGATGCCTCGTTCAAATCGGGTCGAAATGGAAAATATCATTAGGTAAGATCACTATAGTGATATAACCTATAATTCAGTACAGATAATCATTATTTCAAGTTACGACGATTAGGATATACCCAAACTCATTTAAGTACCACTTTCAATAAGTCAGTCATGACAATAGAGAGACTGATTCATCGTTCTGGTGATACAGGTAATTAGTCCATTAAAAAAAATGCTAAAAAAATTTTTTTTCGGAAACCACAGTAGTTTTTGGCAAAAACTCTAAAACGTCCCGAGGTATGGTTGCTATTTATGAAATGCCTGAATAAAATATGAGCATCGTGGTCTTCCGACAAAATGGGGGGGCGGAGAATTTTTTTTCAAAATGCACGTAACTTTGTTTCACCCTGTATCATGGATCCTGATCAATTTAGAAGAAGCTGTAAGGAACGGTTCGAAAGACGATGAAAAAGGCATTCAGAATCTGGGCGGCAATTCAAAATTCGTTCAATATTTTAGAAATTACAAGAAGTCAAACTTGATGTCAAATTTCACTATTAACGTTTCAATTGATGCCCAGTTTAGTTGGAAAGTTAAAAGGTTCAGAACATAATTATGATCATATGAACTTTTCTTCTCTACGAACTGAGAAGCAATAAACTGTATTTATATCTATCAATCAAATTATACCCTTTATAATATATCTCATGAAAGCAATGAGATTATGGAAAAATCACAGCGGTAATTGCACTGCGAAAACAATACAAATAAATGACATAGATTTCAAAAAGTTCCATTTACAGTCTGTGTCAGTATTATGATATTTCTCAGAAAAAAACAACATTTCTTCGAGATGTTCTTTATTCGTGCAGTATTCTAATAAATTACATTCGTGCATGACCAGATGAATATTTCTTAAAAGACCCCTATTGCGGACTCGTGCTCTTTCACGAAAATATGAAATTAAACTTGCTAATTTTCTTGCTTTCTTGCAAAACTATCTGTAATCTTTATGCACTTGTGCAATTATAACCGAAAAGTCTTCTTGCCAATTTCGATTATTCTTGGTGGTTTCTTTAACAGTAACATGAAGATTCTCTTGATGCAATCAGACTATTTCAGAGAAGTTCAAATTAATTCCTAGACGTTATAGATTTTACTGTCACGGAACTATTCAGACTAATATCGTCAAGTAGCAAATAATGATATTATAGAAAGCGAGCCGAAACAAATATCCTCCCAGAAGTAATTAGTTCGGTAATTCAATATACATTCAGGTATAGAGTGTAGGAAGTTGTGCAGGCAGTTGCTAACAAATGTCTGCCAAAGGTAATTGGAGAACTCTCAAAGTCTCAGGATTCTCAGGAAATGGGTATCTCTATCTACTGTCTTCGTCAGATATGCCACAGAAAACTATCAACTCACACAATCAAGAATAATTCCACCTGGTTATCGAATGAACCAATTAGGAGCTCAACTCAAGTTCAGATTATCGATAACACCAAACTGGACTCTTGACTGGCCTGTCATCTGTCAAGTTCGGTGTTTTCAGATATGAGCATGTGACAGTTAAATGTCAAATATCAAGTGATAACAGGTAAAAACGCTGTGCACGTATTACAAAATGAGAAAATTACATCCATCTTATAGTAAGCACCTCACGAAAAACTTATTGCGAATATGATAATGCTCGTTTTATAGATATCGCAGGAAAATGGAATAATATAGTTTTTTCCTGTCTACCTCTAACTCCACTTTTTGGGGAGATTCAAATTCAAGAAATGCGATGATATTACTATAATATAACTGTTGTGAAGTTGAAACAGTGAACCATTTGAGACTTATTATGGCCGAATGACTAAATGATATTCTTTAGGATAATTTCATTATTTATTGATCAACTCACGAATGCTTCCAAATAACAGTTATGTGTTTACTAGGCAGCAAAGTAGTAGAATGACTGCCGTGCTAAATGTATGATTTTTTCTCCAAATGTTATAAAAGCAATTTTGTTCTTGTTTTTTATTGAAAACTCCATCATTTTGTGTTAATCCAGTGTCAGTGTCAATTTTGATTACCAATTTCATTCGTATTACTTGGAACGTTGCATAGCAATTACAATTTTTCTGTCTAGGCATAGGAAGGTCACTTTCTATGACAAGTGGCAAAAAAATGCATGATTTTTTTGTTAATGTTGAAGCAACAGCGTATTATTTTTGTTACTTACATTAAGGTATGTGGATTTCATTCGATGAAATATCGGAAAACCAATTTTGCTTCAATGATGTGAAAGGTTAATGTGCATAATCAATGGAAAACGCTTTGTCACACCCAATTCAAAACTCGAAAAAACTATATTCATGAAATTTCCCAACCCGTCAGCGATGGCTTCATACAACGTAATATAGAAAACCTCGGTACCTAACTCAATTTCATTCCAATTTTCAGCACGTATATAAAACGCATAGAGTGAATCCCTTTAATTTTATTCCACATGTATTACAGAGTCAAGCTATTCATCACGAAGCATGGAATATACCCGAATATCTCGTCTACATTTTCCACACTAATAAACTCTGTTAAGTCATTTGGTGCTCAAAAAGGGAGTTGCCTGGAAAATTTTCCGGGAGTTTTGAAAATTGGTATTTTTATAGATTTTGACGTGCTCTTTTCGAGTTTTCACTTTGCCACCTCGTATCTTTGCCGCTCGCGCCGCCATATTGGAAAAATGGCGCCCAAAAACAGTCTTTCCACAATATCTTCTTCCCTACTCATTTTATGATGATAATAGTTATGTGATAAATTAAACTAGAGAAAATTTCCTACAATTTATGTGGTGAGTTTTTTTTGTGAAATCGATAGTTTCAGTGTACTAGCGCGAAGTCTAATCCAACACGCGTATCAACGAAAAAACTCATTTCCACACTACCATGAGGTCAAGATGAGGTACAGTAAATGCCGCGTTTTTTTGTGGTATCCCCAGTAGACCTAATCCACATGTTTGACACTAATGATGACATTTAGTGCATTCTCCTTCGCTTCGTCATCCCTGATGGACCAGGTTTTGCGAGTTCATCGTCTTTAGACCCGAGCAAAACGCCACAGACAGAAATTCCTTTCACGTTATCTATGATAGGGCTATCAGCTTCGAAGTTATCAACTTCTTCCTCGATTTCGTCATTCGAGAACAGTCTCCGTTTCTTCCTCTTCATCGCAATCTTGTAGTGAAAATTGCAAATTCTCACATGTATCATTGCAATTCGTGCAAATAACGGAGCACTTCAATCCAGCGTTCCTGCATCCACAGGCTCCCCGACATCCCTCTTTGCATTTGCAAGAAATAAGTTTCAACAAGGTTTCCGGAGCTGGCGGGTCGAGTGTGGTGACAGGAATTAGCCCATTCTTCGTTTTTTTCCATCTCCATCGCTCTGCATTTTGATCCAATCCATACCACTGCTGCACCTGGTGATAGGTTCGGAACGGATGTTGTCGTGCTGCTGCTTCTGTCGGTGGCAGCGATGCACTATTGAACTTATTCTTGTTCCATAGCTGGCACTGGCGCGGTATTTGCCATTATTAGAGCACCTAGTCCATACACAAATATGTCACTCTGTAGTGGTTGTATTTATATTGAAACTAAAATTCGAACATCCTTGGAAATTGAATGAACCTGCTGTTGATGCTCACCACTATTTATTTGAGTTAATAGCATATTTTATTCGGATCAAAATTGATTTTGTTTGACTCGTTCATTTTGCTTCCGCTCGGCTTCGCTAAACGCTCCGCCAAATGCAAAATTCGCCTGTCAAACAAAGTGTCACTTCTGATCCTAATAAAACAATCTACTATTTTAGCCAAACTATCCATTAATGAGAAATCCCCTAAGATAGGTCGATTTTTATTTTCTATTTGCCACATTTTCGAAGCCAAATCGATTATATAACGTGATCCACGTTTGAGTTATGACGTCCACGACAATTTTTTCGAATAGAACATCCTATAGATCATTAATTTTGATCCTTCTCAGAAGGCTGAATTCAGAAATATATCATACAAAGGGTTTCTATACAGTGCGTCCGTTAAATTAAGGGATTTCGTAAAGTTCTGAATAAATTCATTTTTAGCCAAACTATCAATTTTTGAGGAATCATCCTGTAACAAGTCAATTTCACTCTTCAATATTTCACATTTATAGGCAAAAATTATATATACAGGGTGATCCACGTTTGAATAACGATTTCCGCGACAAGTTTTTTAAATTGAACACCCTATATATTATTGAAATTTTCAAATCTCCATAGAAGGCTGAAATCGAAACTATATACTACACCTAGGGCTTGTATACAGTGATTTCGTTATATTCAGTGCTATCGTGAAATCGAGCTGTCATTAAAGAAATACTGATGACGTAATCTTTCCTTCACAAATCGTTATTTTGTATATATCAATTAAATTTGGATGAAAATGAACTTCAACGGCCCCGAGCGTCCTTCGCAGTTGCCACCACCTGTTCTGAATTCAGGCCTAATCGGTTTGAAAAATATCGGGAACACTTGTTTCATGAACAGCGTCGTTCAATGCCTGTCTCAAACTGAGTGGATGTTGGAATATTTGAGGAAGAATGCTTACTTCAATGATCTGAACAAGAGGTCATCAAGCAAGAAGGGGACTCTGATAAAAGCATTTGCAGACGTCATAGAGAAGCTTTGGTCGAACGATCCTTCGATCCGAGTCGTATGTTTGGACGATCTGAAACTTCGGATTCAAAGGTTCGCACCTCAATTCAGAGGCTCCTCGCAACAGGATGCACAAGAATTTCTTTGTTACCTGCTGGAGGGGCTGCACGAGGACGTCAACATGGCCGTAGATGAACCGAACCCGAACCCAAAGCCAGTACTTATGGAAATCGACAAATCATTCAGTTTTAATGTCGACGCAATGGATTCGTGGTCGAGATTCTTGATAATGAATAAATCTAAGTTCGTCGATAATTTTGTCGGGCAGTTGAAGTCTACTTTGAGATGCACCTTCTGTGGATATTGTTCGGAGACATTCGACCCATTTTGGGAGTTGTCTTTACCGATACCACAGCGATCAGGCCAACTCAGCTTGTCACACTGCTTGGACTCGTTTACGAGTGTTGAGATTTTAGACGGCGAGGAGAAACCAACTTGCTCGATGTGTAGAGAGAAAAGAAAATGTTTGAAGTCATTATTCATCAACAAGTTCCCAAAAATTTTAGTTATACATCTGAAACGTTTCTCGCAGACTGTAGAGTTCAGTGACAAACTTAACACATTTGTCGACTTCCCCTTGATCGGCTTGGACATGAGCCCCTATGCAGCTGAAGATATCGTACCATGTCCTTACAATCTGTACGCTATCTCAAACCACAGCGGTACTACCTACAGCGGACACTACACAGCCTACTGCAGACATCTATATACGAAAATTTGGCACGAATACAATGATTCCCTGGTTTCTTCAATTTCGTCGAACTCTCTCGTAAGTGGGGATGCTTATATTCTTTTTTGCCAACAAGAGGCTCACTACAAATTCGAACAACGTGATGTTGACTCTGTGAAGAGCTACTGCTCCGTATCTGATCCCGATAGCACCCTTCGTACAGTCCACTATTCCGCTGATAACCACGACATGTTCAACACAGTCGTGGAGAAGCATGAAACTCCAGTTTACCTAGCTCCAGCTGCACACTCTGAGCCAGTAGATATTGTATACTCTGGTCCAGTACTGAATGTATACTCTGCCCCAGTACAGAAGGTATATTCTGCCCCACTTGCACATGCTTGCTCCAGTACGTGCAGCCCAGTATGTGCACGCTGCCCCAGTCGTTCTTTCTGCCCCAGCTCACTTGTGGAGTGAATGAAGTGGAAAACCATTATTTATTTATTATGTTATGTTTATATGTTTATTCAATTTGGAATATATATTGATAAGACTTTCAGGATCAGAAGACAAGGAATTTGATGATGGTGTCTGAATATCCTGATTTGGAATATTTCTACTAGGAACGTTTGGTGTACTTGAAAGATTGTTATCAGCTGAAAAACTAGAGTTACTGGGTATTGCACTATTACTGTCGGTATCTTCCGGATACGAGTAATAATATTGATCACTTTGTGGAGTATTTTCCCCTATAGATCTAATTTGATCTAAATGTCGTTTCCAAATTCTAGAATCATCTAATCTGATTAAATAGTGTAATTGTCCCAACCTTTTATGAACACGTCCAAATTCCCATTTTGAATCACTCAAATAGTTACGCACCGCAACTCTCAATTCGAAATTCTATCTGGCGTATCATCTGGCATCTCGGAATGTAATTAATATTGTCGTACCTTGTCAAAATAATGTATCGCTTGAGGCGTAAATGCAATTTTGATGAAATTGGCTCCTTTGTAGGTTTTCTTCAATCCTCGTCGCCACTTTTATATTTCCACTGTAGTAGCAATATAACTCGTATGTAGAATGTAGAATAATATATTTATTCAAGAAATAGAATGAATTACCAATTTCAATAACAAGCGAATCTACAATTATTATTCATTGTCATAACGATTCTCGGTACAGGGTGCTACCGAATCCACAAATATACAGTATGTGAAATGAAAACATAACAGGGTGTTCCATTCGAACAAAAATTGTCTCGGTCGTCATCACTCAAACGTGGATCACCCTGTATATTTATTCCTTCTCATGAATGAGGTTGATTAAAGATCGAAATAAAAAAAAATGAATTAATTCAGTACTCTACGAAAGCACTGTACCTATTCATTAGGCACCATGTGGTATTCCAAAATTATACGAAACACTGATTTCTAGAAGAAATGGAAACAGTTTCGATAAATTATTTCACTTATTCTCTTGAGGAAAAAATGTATACCTACCTCACATGCATACATATACATCTACCTATTCAAGAACTTTCCGCTTGAAGTGAACCTTATTATTCAGATTCGGAATGCTGTTTGCAACCTATCTTTGTATATGTATATTTCACTCGCTTTCCAATTTCATATTCCGTATGTAGCTAGCTTTCCTTGTTCTCGCTGACTTTTTGTATCGTACTCGTTCGAAATTCCGAGTCTGGAAGATGTGGTTCAAGAATAATATCGTGTTTTTGAAATATTTTCCGTCTGTTCCAAGATACCGCATAAAGAATTTGCATAGTTTTTCCAGGTACATGCCATATCAATTCAAGTTAGGAGAATTGAATCATCCCGAGATCTTTTGTTGAATTATACATTTCAGAAACAAACTTCCATAGCTAGAAGCTCTGATAGAATTAATGTTATACATGAGATGCACGTCATTTTCTTGGAAACGGTGATGATATACTTATTCGCGAAAAATTTTCCGATAGACGATTCAAAATAAGCGAAACCCCCTCTTGGAGATATTCAAGTAACTAATGGAAAGTACATTGAATGTTTGTTTATTAACAACCATATATGTAATGTTGTCATTACCAACGTCACTGAAGGTTGGGAAGTGACACATTACACAGCTTTACTTCCAGCCCTCACTTATATAAAATTTTAGGTAAGTTCAGAACAAAACAGAGATTCATTAATTCTGATTGAAATAGGATGGTTGTAAATGAAATAGTATGCAAACCTCGGTAGGAAGTTGCATTCCTGTCTCGAGATCTTATCTAACCTCGATACTTTGCGTCTCGGTTAACTAACTAATCTCACGACAGGAATGAATCTGTTCTCACCTCGGTGTGTAATATACTATTACATTTAAGTTTTCATGCATTTTATCGGAAGTTTAGTGGTCATTGTGATTTGTTTCGAGTTCGATTCTTCAGTAGAGTATTTTAAATCATTATTGTTTTGTTTCACATGTTATTCATTTTCTCACAACTTCTATATTGAATTCAGTTGCATTTTATTCCCAGAAAGCACATATTCTCAAATTTTCGTACTAGGAAAATCACTTATCCACAGATACAACCAGCTTTGAGGACTTTTTCTCTTTCATAAACACATGTAAGTAGATGAATCGACTACAATACATATATCTCAGAAGAATGCAAGCAGATTTCTTGATCAATATCATCTGACCGACAAATTTTCAATAACGAAGTCAACCATATTAAAAATGTTCTCCAACTCAATTCTTATCCAAAGAATTTTGTCGATAGGACGATTCATCAAATTGAAAACAAACAGGGACAACCACAACAAAATCAACCATCAATAACGACAAATATAATACCATTATATTCCCGGCATATCTGAAAAAATAAAACGTGTTGGTGATAAATTTCTAGTGAAAACTGTGTTCAAGACTGAAAATACAATGAGATCAATTCTAACTCAAACAAAGCCGAAAAATGAAGAACAATCGTTAAAAATTGTAATTACAGTATACCTTGTGTTTGTGGAGAGTTTTATACAGGTGAAACCAAGAGACCTCTTTCAGTAAGGACGAAGGAACATAAGTACAATATAGAGAAAAGAAACATCGATAAATCGAAATTAGCTGAACATATCCTTACTGAAGACGGACAACATATGGCAGAGTGGAATAATATTAAAATCATTGGAAAAGAAGATAACAACCAGAAGAGAAAAATCAAGGAATCTGCTTGCATTCTTCTGAACGGAGACAATAGCCTTGCTTCTTGTTCAGTTGATATAGACAGAACATGGTATTCACTACTAAAATCTGAACATGAAAATGGTGAATTCAAGATTAATTAATGAAAACATCCTGTAACTCATTTGACTGCCAACGTCACCAATTGTCATTGAAAACTGAAAAGCTTCAAGACATATACGACTTCGCTGTTGAAATAATCTCTTCTCATGTTGAAAGATAAGTGAAAATTTGATATTTTTTCTGTATACCTTTATTTCTCTTCTCCAAACCTTTTTCAATACAAATTGTCACTGACAAGCTAGTGAATTTTTCTTTTAGGTTCTCTGATAGAAAAATTCTTTAAACGCAGGTTTATGGTGGTGAGCTAGTTTGGGTTTGAGTTCTATCGAATTATGAAATAATTTTTTTTTTGTGATATAAGCCCATTGCACTCGATTGTTCACATTTTCCTATAAAAGAACTGAGTCAACGAGATTTGATCCGCCCCTGTGTTTGTCTTGAAACATAACAGGGGTCTGCCTAAATAGTTAATGTTCGGCTTTACCTCCAGCTTCCTTTCAGGGTTAACCCCTAGGTATGAGGAGTAAGTAGTAGGAGGAGGATGTACTAAGGATTGCGTCCCAACTCCCTATACACCGTGTGGAGTTAGGAAAATTCAATTAACCTGTCAGCAGTGGCGGGACATGAAGATAATTCTCTAAATATCAGATCGCCTAGATTCTTCACGAAGCATATAAGAAACATTAACAATTAATTTTGACCATATTTCTGTTGGACTTCCATTACATTTTTTGTGTAATCGACTGTAACAATGTATATGTGGTTGAATTTTGCCCGAAGAGTTGTGAAACAGCCTTTATTATAATGCTAGTATTGTGCCTTTGTGCCAGTTTGTTTCTGCCTAATTGAAAATTAACTATTTTCGAAATATGTATCAAGGACGAAACAATGTCTATTATAGTCGAGTTTGCTAATTGATAGGCGAGGCCTGAGCCATTTGTTAAACGCAGTGACATTTTGAGGTAAATCATATGATTTGTCCCACTACGAATATATTGAAATAATACGCATATTTTTATTTTATAGAAACGAGGAGAGAAAATCCCAAAAAATCAAGTGAAATGAATACCCTGTATATCTTGAACGACATTGAGCCTCAAAGTTTACCTGAAACTTTTCTGAATTATTGATCAGAGGTTAATAGCCCAAACCAAGCGTTTGCTTTCGGCGAGATCACATGTACCTGAAGTTCTATATAATAGTTGAATGATGGTGGCACCACCCATTCTTTTGAAAACATTCAATTTTTTTTTTGTGTAATTAACTCTCATAGAATATCTCATTTTATTTACTGTCCCAATTTCAGAAAAACCCTCTACATGGGGTGTTCTGAAATACGCTGGTACATTTATGTTATAAGAATGGATATAAAAACTAGCTTTCCAGCCAAACTAAGTGTAGTGCTTCCTCATTTCGGTGCTGTCAACAGAATAGAAAAGATTCACGCCACTGTTTTCTAATATCTTAACACCATCTCCTTTGAGATACATTTGCTATAGCCACCCTCTAACTCCGTATCAGCGAAATACACGCAATATCATGTAATTAATATCCCAATGCCGATATTGATTACTCCCCTTTGAAGTCTACGAAGTGAGAGATTGAAGCTAGTGCCTAGCTAGAGCTCTCATTCATATTCAACGAGCTCCATATGCGATTGCATATGGTCATGGAAAGTGCATTTGCCGATTGGGGATTAGGGTAGACTCGTTGAGATTATTGGGAATGATAATCCACCATCAGGGATGATTTATATTTGTGCTTTCACTTTCGAGTCGGAAACATGTCCTTTAATCCCTTTGATCTGGGACCATAGCTATATGGCACATTGTTGAACAAGATCTCATAACTAAGAGATCTAGGACGAACAGAGTTGCCCACATTTGTCAGCAGGAGCGAGACAATACTGTTTCGGCCCATCATGCATCATCAGCCGCTCTCGGTCTGGCATATCTCTCAGTTATGAGATCTGATTCAATGAATAGGGCTGGTGGATCATTCCACTCAAGTAGTCAGCTAGTGCCATCTGTCAAAAGAGTGGTATACTTGTAGTGCCAGTCTGTGAC